AATACGTCTAAAATATAATATTTTCTTAATTCTATTATATGATTCCGTTTCTAGCAGTTATCGCTCGGTATATAATTTGATAATAGTTTATAAGTTTACATTTCATACATTTGTTTCAAATTGATTGTAGAATATAATTCTCTATATTATGCAATCAAAAAATAATAAAATACATTGCGCGCAAAAGGTTATTGAGCTTATTAAATATTATAGATGCAAAATATTGCAGTGTTAATATGATAATCGTATGCATCGTATACACTTCAGTGTAAACGAACATACAGTTATTTATATTAAAACGAATATATTTATTTTTTATCGACGGTGCAAGGTATTAAATACTATAAAACGATACTTCACTTGCAACCGTATGTGCGTAATCAGTATTTTACGCATTCGATCATGTTTATGCGACTTTCTGTAATATGTACCTGTATTAATATTTGAGTTTACGAAAACACTGTAAAGGTATCTGCTTTTTTGCACATTGCAAAAATGCAGTTTAGTACAGTATTATACTTAAATGAGTTGTATGTGTAATGCAGCAGTTAGGTTTCGTTCTAGGTTTTCTTCTTAGCTGCCAATGATTTCGAAAATTAATCGTTTGCCCTTGATAATCGTTCGCGATACCTTATTTCATAGCAAATACGAAAAAAAATGTGACACAACCGATCGGACTGCGCCACATAAATCATTATATTTCTAGATAGGCTAATGACGAATACGTTTCTTGCAAAAAGAAAAAAAGAACGATTTATCTTAAAATGTCACACATTATGTACTTGTATACGATTTCCAGATATGTTACTCCTTTGTGGGAGGTGTTTTTTGAATTAATGTTGGTGAGTGTTTGTCAGGGGCTGTGTGCCGCGTGGAGAAAAGAAACGCTGCAGACACGCCTATGTGATAATCATATTGCGGCACTAAACGTGTAGTGTAACGCGCGTATAACATGCATACATTAACATTGATAAAATAATATAACGTTATTTTAAACCGTGTGTAAAAACGTCTAATGAGGTCTAAGGTTTCAAGCAAAATACTAACAAACGGGAGCCGCTCGGCGATTCTAGGATGGTCGAAACACGTTTTTTTTTTTTTAATGAAGATATATTTGACATAATTGCGTTCGCCGCGGCGATGTATTCTATACATTTTATGGGCCAACTACGTGCTACACAAACTATCTGCATAAGCGTATTACATTGCATCGCGTTATTTTGTACCGTACCAGCCACCGGATAGGTTACCCGTGTTATATTTTAACATCCGTTTAAATACTTACGTCGCCAAACTAAATTATAACGATATGGTGCATAACGAAGCGTCCGTAAATTCACGTGCGAAACATTTGCTCGTAGCAAATAAGACATATGCTACGAAAAAGGTCACGCCGTATCTTATCTCGTGTTTATCTTTAGATTTCGATCAAAATCAATATATGTTCTTTTAATCTTTCGAAGGCCGGGGTGGAAACGTTAATCATACAAAAAAAAAAACCATGATCTCGCGTTTTATCACACGATTGATACGCATGATCCCCCCCCTTCCCCATAAATATTCCATGTCATACATAGCATACCGCATACAGCATACTTAACTCACAAACAATAACACGTACAATAAAAGACACATAGCAGTAAATCCAACTTTGTTCAGAATCTTAAATATATCAACATGGTACATTAGAGTAATCTATAGGTTAATTTAAGTTATGGTTGAAGGGCTGTAGCCCCCCCCCCCCAGATTTTTTACCCTAGTTGCGCGCCTATGTTGATACGGCCTTTTTCGTAGCGTCCCGTTTATTTACGCGTTAGGTATAATGTACTCAGTCGCACGTTATTACACGCCCCTTTACAGCGGTCGTCGAAATATTTTATAATATCGGTAATTTACCGGTTACGATAACTGATGTTGTAAAATGACCGCGGCACCACGGTTAGCATGGTGTTTAATGATAACGATGATGACGATAATACGATGCACATTATTATTATCCAGGTGTTGGCGAGAACTCGTACACGTGTATATAATATGTATATTAAACGGACGAGCGTGTAATTTATACGCGTCGGCGTGACCTTCGAGCACGGCGATTAACAGCTCGTACGGCGCACCGACGAAGTCGCGCGTACCGCGTGGTACTACACCCCGTGCGCGGATCGACGGTGCGCGCGCACGGGCATACCAGTTTTAACGAGATCCTGGTTAGACGGATTTGATTTATTCGCACCGCGGCGGCGGCGGCGGCTTCACACGAACGCGCACCGCCGCCGCCGCCGCCGTTCGCGATTTAACAATAATTACGTACGTACACGGCTATCAATTATCACTCGGCGGTGTGTACCATACGACGTATAAACGCGGTGGCTGCGCGCACACCCGTACGCTGTATTACAGCAGGCGGCGGTCTAATGATGATAATGGCCGAGACGGCGTCGGCGCGTTGTTGTCCGTTAACTGCCGGCGTTTTGCATCCGTACACGTATTTATATGTAAATAAATTATACGCCGGAATGCCACGGATCGCATATAATATATATTTACACGCGCGTAAAATACCTGTGATGTACAACACGCACGCGCGACTTCGTGTTACTCGCAGGGGCTAAAATTCCAGAACCACTACTTGTCGTATACATCATTTGCGCGAAGTGTGTGTGTGTGGATATACCGTATACCGGGTCTAAGCGACGGATTATCCGCGCGGTAGTCCTATACGTGCACGTGTTATTACACTATTACGTACGTGGTGATTACAACTTTTTCGAGGGAAAATAATAAATGTCCGACAATTACTGTAATATGTTTACGAAACCAAGACGGCAGGTTTTCGACTGCAGTGCGTACCGCATATTATGTTTTTTATTTTTCCTAGTCGGCCGGTGAAATACCTTAAAGTGACGAATAATGAGAATTCCTAGAACGGTTATGGAGGCATATACGTGCGCGTTTTTATATGATTAGATTTTGGGCGCGAATAATAATATTAGGCGCGCGCACGTGAAAAATAGTACACGTTGTATAATATTATGTTGAATACACAACATGTATATCTGCTGTTTTGTTGTTTGACCTCACCCAACAGTTACGAAGACGATAATAATAATAATAATAACAATAACAAAAGTAAATTAAATATAATGGCTTTGAATATGCGTATTACGAGCCAAACGTAAAAACAACGATGATGTTGATGCACTTAATGACGGACGAATAACAATAAAATTAATATAAAATGTTCCCTTTAAACGTATACGTTTTTAATGTGCTTACGTGTTCCCATGCACACGTATGTATAGTATACACAGATATACATTGTATACACAGGTAGACATTGTATACCTATAACATGGAACTGTGTAGAAAACAACTGTACTAATAAGTATTTAGGGTATAATATGTAAGTTGTCGTCCCACGTCGATAAATTGACCATATCATAAAACCCGTGTACATCATAAATACCGCTTTCGTATATGAATCCAAAAGGTGCCGACAACTTGAATACAGATCAAGAAGCCAACGCGACTATGTTGGTGGTATACTACATAGATTACAGATGTAATATGTGTATACCACACGTAATATAACCGATCAATCGAGAGACGGCGTGTCGTGTGTTTGTATGTATAGATACATGACACGCCTAAATTGTGTGGAACGTGAACAATACAACAACGATGTTCACAAAGTAATCATGAACGAGGAAAGGAATTATTGTCCTGCAAAACGACCAATAACCGTTTGTCAAGGATGATGATGACAGAGGCGGTTCGATACATTTTAGACAGTAGTTCAACAATTGGTTTTACCACTCACACCCGCTGCAACATTAAAAAAACTATATTTTCAACATTACACTAAAGTAATTAGTGTTGATGTAATTATTGTATTAACTAATCTACAATCTATTTATCATAAAAATTACTTGGTCATAAAATTAACAAACTCATATTACCTATGCCAGCGATTAAGAGCTAGAACCAGTCTATTTCAAATGACCACTCGTCCCCAAATATTCTTGTAGTTTAGTGAATCATAAAATACAATGTCAAGCAGCATCTGACCATTAATATCCAAATATATAACCACTGCGGTATTTAATTAATGTACTTTGTCGGAGCATTACATGATAAGAGCATTTCTCGAGTCTGCGAGAAGGGTTACTTATAACTGTCAAAAGCTCGGCCCTCGGTAACCCGACCCGCGTTAAAACACACTTCGAGCCTCGTATCGTTGATGTCACCCGGCGTTGTAACCGCAATATGCACGTGCGTATCATCCTATTGCCGTGTCATCGTCTCCGAAACAGGCACAGGCCTGTACGAACGTGCACGAAACGGTCATCGGAAATAACAAAAGGATCTCTGAGAAAAGGTAAGTATGAGCAGAGAGTCCTCTCGCCGCATTAAGAAAAGGTTTAGGTCTTGGGTACACCACCACATGTACACGAAGAAAAGAATCCCGTGCACTTACGGTATTGTGCGTGTCCGAACGGGTCCGTATAAAAATACAATATATACCACGGTAGCGAATGGAAAAAAAAAACCAACCCCATACGCAAGCGATATATGCGTGTGCGTGTGTGTGTGTGTGTGTGTGTGTGCGTATTTACAATAATGATGGCTACGGCGATGACGATAGAAATAATAATAATAGTAATAAATCGCGGGTCGGAACGAGTCGGTTCTGCGGCAGCGAACGGTGGCGGCGGTCACGGGTGAGGGCGTCGCGCGGGTCGATTCGGGTGCGCAGGTGTTCAGTACGTACGAGGCCCGCGAGGGTCGTCCGCACGCACTACAGCGGCGCTCGCCATCTGCCGCGTTCTTCGCCATGGGATCGCGAGAATTCGATGTTTCTCACGGTCCCGTCCGCGTGTGCGCGCGCTCTCGCACAACGAGACCACTGCAGTCGCATCTGCCGGCACCTGCCTGCCCCTGTTCCCCGCCACCACCCACCGTCACTAGGGGGAAACGGATTGCCTATAAAAGAGCCCTGCCGACGCTCCACCGGCATCAGTCCACGTTCGAACGACGTACACACACATCACGTTCATCGTCCGTCGTCTCTACCTCGTGGCCTACCCGCGCACTTACCGCGTTCAACGTCGTGTCGTATCACATCTCGTGCGTTATCATCCGATCTCCGTTCACTTCTACTACATACCACTACTGTTCAGCGAAATGGCCTACTTGTCCAACAGCTTCGACTTCGAGCACTTGCAAAACTCGACCAACTGGGAGGTCGTGCAAAAGAAACGATCTTTCGTCGCCAGAAAGATGCACAAGATCAATAAGGTGAGAACAGTTTTAACGCATTTCATAACATTTTATTTCGCGTTTCGACCGTCCCGTGCACATATACGTTCGGTTACACGCACTCGTATTGAAATTTGATTTAAACTCGTCTCTAACGTAATTGTTTTTTTTCTACAGACTATCAAACCGATCCTAAAAGCGTTGTGCCGTCGGAACTCCGTGACACCAGCTGCTCATCACGGCTCGGCCCTGGACCCGCAAGGGTTGTCACCCGAAGAACTGGAGAACTTGCAGAACGAATACATCGAGCGCAAACTGTCTCAGGCCGTGGTTTACGACGAGGACGACTACTATTCGGACTCCGTCAGCATCGAGTCCGGCCTAGGCATGTCATTCGAAGAGCTGAGGGAACCCGAACAGCAACTGCTGTCCCTGCTGCCCGAAGCCCACTACTACATGTCCCGTGAATTCTGGTTCGAATCCGACATCCGCACTGCCGGCCGACCGTCGTTCACTAGGCAACAGACGCCCCAAAGGCAGCAGCCCAAGTACGTACACTAAACGACCACGACTACTCAACTACTCGTAGCCGCTACCGTCCGTTCGTCTCACGCGTACCTGCCTGTGATCGAGCATATATTGTTATCTGCCGCCCGCAACGTCTTTCATTTTTGCTCAAACTCGTTTTGTTTGTTTTAAATATTATATCGTAAATGTATATTATGCGTGAATTTTATATATATTTTTTTTTTATGAGGTATCAAATACCGGATCTCTAAAACCGTGTTTACCACCTCAAAGTGTTCTTGTATGTATCTTTAGCGTTTAGCTAAATTACATATACGTATTTAGATTTAATTTTATTTGTAAGCCTTATTATATACTCGTATTATAATATCGTCGTTATCATACGACTTTTTATATTTTATATATATATATATATATATTTTTTACGCTCGAGACTTTTGACAAATATATTATTTTTTATTTTAAATATTTGTACAAAATTATAACGTATACTGTTCGTGTACGGTAATATTATTATTATGTATTTAAATGTAAACCGCTGTCTCGTGCGCATTATTATATAGTTTGTGATAAATAATTGTTTCAACAGCGATTCTGTGATGTTTCAATAGCTGTTATCATGTAACAGTTGTTGATTAAATAATATATTATTATAATATTTATATATATTGTGTTCCTTTGTTGAATGAAATTGAAATAAATCGATTGATATTAATAAAAATTTTGTTTATTTTATATAATGCCACTCGTGACTACGAGCATGGTTTATTCCTTCTGGCCCACGCGTTAAACATAGACACACTTCGAATAGGTATATTATATTTAGAGTATTAAACCAAACTTTATTAAAAACTCGATCGAGTGCATTCGACTGTACGTTGGTTCGCTAATACTTACGCATAAGCGTAATGGTAATATAATTGTATACATAATACAGGTACAACGTGCACGTGTATCCGCAGCGAACATGGTCGTTGTTGGAACGTTCGACTCATTATCGAGACCGGTGAATTTATTTTAACGACCGATGTAACGACGGTCTATGGTGTGTCATTGGGTCGAAACCATAGTGTACCGCTGTAACATTGTCTACTGACGTACATTACATGTGGGCACATGCGTCAATGTGTACAACACGTCCACAGGGTACAACAATGCGGACATTATGACTAACACGGCGCCGAAATCCGTTGCCAACCGAGTTGTGTTCAAACATTTACAATCGACGAACAATAACAACGCGGGCGACGACCAACGATCGAGCAGTGATTGTCCACCGTTGCTGCAGAGGTCGCGGTCGACAACGATCGACGAACGGCAACGTCGTACATCTATTCGCCGGGGAAACGGTGCACGTGCCGCGCGTCAACGTCTTATTTTAACGGGCAGTACGACCAAAATTGGGTAGTAGTAGTAAATCTAAAGGGCAGTTGACTTTATGAATTTGAGCACCTAACAAAAATATTATTTTTCTTATAGAATCATTGAATTTCTATCGAATATTTGAAATTTATATAATTTATAAACCCAACCTAGTATCTGATAAGTAATAATTATGTAAGTTTACAATCTTTGCTACTCCGATGATTGATTAATCTATGAACATTAAATTTAAATAGTGGTATACGTATAACGAAAAGATCCTTATTTTTTTTTTCAATATTTTACCACGCGATGGTCAAAATTCTAAAATATCAATTGACAATTTATTCGGGGAGGAGGTAAGTGTTATAATCCAAATAAATTTCATAGAACAAAATTTTCAGTGTGTTTGGACGGTAGGTAAAAATCCTTAGAATATGCTCTGGTCGACGTACCGAAAACGAAACGTTTCCGCGGCCACGGTCTAGACGTCGCGTCCCGATTGAGCAATTGCCTGCGCGTGGACGCAATAACCGATTGCGTAAGATATTTGCTTGTGCCGTGTGAACGTGTGTCGCGTTACGCGTCGGTCTACCTACGCAGTCGGATTCGTGTCGACACCGTGACAGCTATAACGGCTTTCGGGGCGGTGCGATGGTTTCCGATAACAGCTGTATAATCGGTTAGGACCCGTTCAAGAACAATGCGTAAACGTTCGCCACGCACATAACACTCGAATGGCCAAGTATATTGTAATACTATGTAAATATATACAGAGGTGGAACTAGGAATTTTTACGTACGGGGAAAATGTTAAAATTGCGCCCTACCATAGACCAATAATCAAATACTCTTATCATACTTGTTGAGTTTTAACCTAATATCGGTGTATTTAACAAAGTTAAAAATATCAAATTAGTTGTTAATAATTACAAAAATTACACCCTCTAAAATTGTACGCCAAGAGATGAATGCTCGTCTTCCACACCCTAGTTCCGCCCCTGTATAAACATATATACATCCAATGGCGATTAAAGCAAAAAATAAAAAACCCGCGTCGTACTGTTTACGGAATGCGGAAAATAAGACCGACGTTTTCGAATTACTAACCGAAACCAAGTGAGCACGTGAATGTCGGTTAGTAACAGTTCCGTTGCTACGTGTTTCAAGAACACATCGATAATGCCGTTTCGATGACTCTGGAGGTAACGGAAAACCGAATTCGTCGTGTAACACGTTGTATTCCTATTATAATATGTTTTATTGTTTTGTAAACAATCGTTTTTGTTGTGCGCATCGGAACAAAAGAACAGAACTGTGACGACGTCGAGAAAAAAATATTTCACCCCGTTTACGTGTACGGTGTCGATTTCAATTCTTAATTTTTGCGCTTAACCGTATTAGTTAATATGATTACTATTATTTATTATAAATTTACAGTCATCGAAAATCGTCCGATTGTTGAGCGTATAACGACCTCTCTACCCCCTCAAGTGGCAGTGTCGAATGACGAAACATTTCCATAGTATATCAAGTCCGACGAATCGAATGCACCGACACATGAAGGCGAAATTTTTGACTGTTGTTCTCGTTCATAACGTACAGTGGTAAACCGAATAATTACGAACGAGTAGAATATTATGCGATTGGTGAGAATATCGGACGAAACAGAATTATAGTCGATGAATCGTTGCCAATAGTATGACCACCACGCGTATTGAGTGCTATAATTTACGTCATTGAATTCCTTTATCTTCTAAGTGCGTTACACAACCGTACAGTCGTATGAATGGTCAGCTCCCAATTCGCCGCCGTACCATTTCTCATTTTTTAAGTAACTTGGTTAACAAATTACATACCAATTTATTATATTTATGTATGATTATATAAACAAATTAACATATAAAATTATATAAAAAAGTTTTTTAAATTAGTTTAAATTATTAATCGTGTTTAATTAAATAATTAATATTGTCAAATTAATCAATCCATTTTATCCATAAAGAATCTTGTCATTCTTGTCACTGCTTGTCATTCTATTTTTAAGATATCCAATTCTTTGATATCACCGTCACGACACTGTTCATTTTATTTTATTTATACAACTATCGGGGATTTAACAATCGATAACTTCAGAATTCAGACAGTATAGTACTATGTAACATCGTTACAAATTGTAAATACTGCACTGTGTCTATTGATCACTTTTCAAATCAGAAATTCGCAACCATGTTTCAAAACAAGAATAATTTGAGAATTATGCGACGAAATGGCACAGTGGTAAAATGAAACGGCAACGAAACGGGACACAACCGTACGAATAATAATAAGAAAACACAATTTGTCGTTGACGGCCGTTTACTCGTTAGTAATCGGAATTCAAAATCAATACAACAACAATAATAATTGATGACCCTGTACAACACCAGTATATTACAGCTTACATTTTGCAAAAAAAAACAGTACGATAACTGGATAACACAATTCCGGCGGATAAACATACGGGCTTAATTATTTTCGACAGAAGTGTCCAATCATTGATATCGTTACCGTATCGTATCGAATTACGAACGTCAATTGTACAAGACAATAAAACACAAAAAAGTATACGTGGGCAAGTACAATAAGCTGTTGTGGACGCACACGATCGTGTGAACCATGTAGGTAGGAACCATTCAAAATTATGATATCACGTCACTTTAAAACGTTTACGTATCATTGTTATTAGATACCGAGTCCAACGTGATGATATATTGAAGAAGTATTCAATAAAACAAAGTTTTATTTTCAAAAAAAATTATTTTTCATATTCGCATCGTAATCGTCTCGAGAAGTAATATGAATAACGGTGAAATAAATGTAATCAAGAAAAATTATATCCAATACTTAGAAGTAAGAACTCCAAAAATGTATTCTACTCGTATCATTAAGTTCAACATTAAAAAAAATAAATATCACTACTGTTAGTAAAGTAAACGAGTGCCTGTCAAACATATGCATTGTAGGAATTAAAGACCAGACAAATTTTTTTTACACTCAGGATGTTATCCTATCGTACTTTTTTTTTTGAAAAGCAGTTTAAAAAATAATCGACAACACACAGTCGACCGTCGATAATTATAATGTATGCCAAGGCGTCGGCGTCAATGAAATTCATGCGGGAGACCTTTCGGTGAATTTCACGATTAAAAAAAACCTCAGTTGTCCTTGACGAAAAGAAAATACACACATAATAATATACATTATTACAGAAGCATAAATTGTAAAATCGTATTTACCATTATAATTTCGACCAAAAAAAAAAAAAAAAAAAAATGAATAAATAAATAACAAAAACTAAAAAAACAAATCGAAATAAGTTATAATTTTTTTTTTTTTATACCATTCCTGTAGGTTTTATTACACCAACACCACGTAGACCGTTTGTAAACATAGTACATAATATTTGGCACTAACATACATTATACGTAATATAATCGAACTACACTGGGTTAAGGGCATAATTTCCTCGCTAATCGTGCATGCGAATTAAGTGCTATGGTTGCAATTCACTGTAAGTACATATTATAATAGGTATGGAAATACTTTAAACGTCTTGCTCGCAATTTTGTCCAACTGTGCCCCCCCCCACCCAATTAGTTAAATGCGTGCCGTTGCAACGAAGAAAATTTGTTTTTCAGAAACCAAAAAAAAAAATAGTTAAATAAATAACTCCTATACATTTGCAGTGCATATACATGTTTCATAGAGCTGCAGAGTTCTTACAATTACGTAGCGCAAAGAGTGTATGTACAAAGTGTATATGAACACGGTTGCTCTAAACGATCGAGAAATTCGATTTCGCGGGGCCTGAACACGTACGCGGACGCGTTCGTATCGTAAGAACTTTCGAGTAGGTATTGTAAACACTCGGAACCATTTAGTCAGGTGGTACGGAGCAGTGCGCGGGGTTAAGGTTCACTGGCGTGCGTGGGAAAAACGGATGGCGCGCGCGTCGGAGAAGAAAAAAATCGCGG